AATATTTACTATTTTACTAAATTTAAATATATATTAATTTATTTATTAAAATTTACTAAAATATTAAAGTACTAATTTTCTTTTCTCCATCAATTCTTGCCTTAAACCCCTTTTGCCATTACACTTAGGTCTTGCGGCTTAACGACTATAAGTCAACTTGTAAAGGTGCTTGGGATGGGGTTCAAATCCCCCCACCTTTTTTGCCATTAAAATGACAATAAAGGCCTCATTAATAATAATAGAGAATTTAGGTAATGACAGACACACCATATAAAATCCATTTGATGAATGTCTTTGTAAAGTGTGAGCCCCTCAGCATTTCTTGAATAAGGCCCCAATGCACAGTATCATTGATTTTTCTAAGATCCATTTTTATCATGCATCTAGCACACAGATCCATTCTTCCCATATCAATTTATCACAAGGTCCTCAAAGATTAAAACATTAGACAAAATGCCCCTACCCTTCACAAAGGACAGCCACTAATCAAACCTCCCAAAACCATTTGCATACTATCAGTGATAATCTTTGTAATCACTTCTTAAATGACAGTACAACAATAGGTTTATAGCCAACAACAACATTAGGTCAGTTTTTGAAACCAAGGTAATGTTGGTAGAGTTAATCTTTCCCATCAATTTATTAGAAAAATTAATCCAGAATAGTAGCATAGACATTCCTCTTTTATCAACTTAGGAGTGGCCTTTTAAAACCAGATTAAAATCCGTCTAGTCTTGGTAATTTGTCATCAAGAATAAAAAATGAACCTAGTCAATTTCCTCCTTGCTCACAAGTTGACCCAACCAACCCTCTGATTTGAAGACACTATCTTCAGATAAACCCTTTGAAAAATGTTATAATCAATTTTCAATAGGGTTTTGTTTTCGTCACTCAATATAACTTCAAATAAAACTGAATAAACTCACATGAAGTATCTTCTTAAGTAACTAATTTTAAATTTACTTGTGTTAGTATACACTAAGACAATATTAGTTGCATTATAAATTTGATTATCTTAAATTATTTTTTCTAATAGAGCATGATCAAAATTGTGGGGACATCAATAGTGTTGTATGCTTTTAACCTAGATCGTGAAATCACTTGGGAGGTACCTTATTCCTACCATTTTCTTTCGGAATTAACTGCATGTAATGCCCATTAATTAATTATTAAAATAAAAAATTAATAATTAGAACAAGTTAATACCAACCAAATCACATACAGAGGAATTGCTCAAAGCACACTTTCTATTAAAACTCTTTTATATGCCTCCAAATTGTACCAAACAAGAGACAACAACCAAACATTCAATTACTAGTGACATCTAACATTTATTATAACAATGCTTTATTTTATAGTTTAGTCTATATCAAATTATAAAATAAGAACTATTGGATGGGGGTGAGACTTCCAATACTAAAGAGTTTATTCCCATCCAATAATTAGAATTAAACAATTCCATACAATCTAAACTGTATAATACATTTTCCTTATTATAAACTCTCTTTTTTTTTTTATCCTTTTTTGGTTTATTTCCAAATGAACAATTCTTAAAGGGCAAAAGTATAAAATAAGAGAAAGTGTGAGTGCTTAAATTAAAATAGGTGTTTTTTATTTATATAAAAATAAAGGGAATTTTTAGTACGTGCCTATGCACAAAATAATAATATATTTATTAT